TATTCACATGTAGCTCCCATTTATTTTTTATATACGAGCTTGGTGTCCGACCCGTTGATCGGAATGTCATTTTAATACAACGTATTTATGATATATATTTAAATTTATTAAATTATTTAAAATTCTAAATTTTTTATGACATTAAGCTAGCATCGAATTATGTTTTCATTTTTTAAAGTCTTATAACTTTTCATCGATCAATGATGAACACCGCAATCTGAATGATGATATTTATAACCAAACTTGTTAAATTGATTTAAGTTATTGAGCCAGTCAGGTAAGTTGTTTGAAGTTTAATGGTTTGATTGAGTCCAACTTGTTTGAGACGTTTTACACTTTTTCTAAATATATATATATATGTATATATGTATATATGTATGTATGAATGTATGGTGGCGTCTTTGATGCACTCACTTTTTTGGGTGCATTCAGTGCACTCACTTCATAACCGTCATTTTAAACAATAACGCACATGAATTTGCACAAAAACTATTAAAGATTTACTTTAATTTGAAGGATTTAGAATTTAGAGATTTAGGGTTAGGGTTAGGATTAGGGTTTACAGTTTGGAGTTTAGGGCTAGGGCTATAACTTAAAATTGGAGGTCTAGGGGCTAGGGCTTAGGGTAATTGGCTAATTAGTTGTTATCATATGTTATATCATCATATTATACTAATTCTACAAATTCAAAATCCGACACCTTAAGACCAGTTTTTGAGTAGGGTGCATTGAATGCACTCATTTTTGTTAGTGCACCGAAGTAGTCATCATATATATATAAGAGATAATAAAAAATTAAATGATTAAAATGGAATGTACCTCGCTTATATCTATTAAATTTATATTCCATAAAAAACTATCTATCTCGGTACGATAGTACCCATCCACCATCCCCTTCCCTCTCTCCCCCTCCCCTCTTCCAACAATCTGACCGCTGGCTTTGTGAAAACCATTTTAGAACACGACTTTGGTCGGACCTGGTATAACCGATGGGCCGGTAGAGGTTTAACAACCTTGGTTATAACACTCGTGAATAATTATACATGACTTGTCTATTTGATAATGTACTCAATTAGTTGCGTATGGTTGAAAAAATTGACATAACAAAAAAAGAGTTTGTCTGAAAAAATATAGCATAAATAGGAAACACACCATCATAATCTTTAGCTAATATTTCTTTCTTTTCTTGAGAAATAATACACATATATCAATATCTACAACTTTAAGTATTATACACAATACAATAACAAAATTAGTAAGAAAATAAAATTATCTATCCATACTCTATGTAATGAAGAAAATGGTTATCAGTCAACATACTCAATTTTAGTTGAAGGAAAATCTTATTCACTCAACAAAAAAAAATTAAACTGTTTGAGCCCGGTTCCCTTCGGTTCCACCTCGCTTGACCTCCACCCTTTCGTACACCTCCGGGGCGCCTGGACCCTACAAGGACAAGCGCCTAAAGGGCTTTGGAACGCCCGTTAGCACTCCAACGCTCAAGTTAGAAGTGAATCTAGAGAGAGAAGTGTAAGTCGGGTTTTAGTGTGAGAAGCCAACCTGCGTAAATGCTACCTACCGAGTACTATTTATACTCGTTGGGGATCCGACCAGGCTCCTGGAATCGTGCTCCACGTCAGCGCGTCATTTAATGCTTGGTCGGTCCAACGGTCGGGTATTTACACGTGGCAGCTCCCGGACCTCGGTGCCCAGGCGCCCGGCAGGACCACCTTTCCAGGTGGCGCGTTCTCCTCTTCCTGACTCCTAGGCCACCTGGTCCCCGCATCTATTTTTGTCGTTATGCGCCCCCTCCTCCGCGACTGGGCTTTTCCTCAGCTCTTGTTATCCACTCATGCTCCTAATTGGGTTTGGGCCCGGCTATACCTTCCGGGCTCATGTCCCTCACTTATTTGGTCCATGTGCCTATATCCAACACTTCTAATTGGGCTTGAGCCCCTACCATACCCTCCGAGTTCATGTCCCCCACTGGCTTGGTCCATGAGCCTATACCCAACATAAACCTATCTTATGGTACCTACCTCGCTAACGCACATGACCACATCAATGCGTTCATGAAAACTTTGCCCGACTTTCATGATTTGTCTTGTACTCCGCTTATTCCATATTAAACTAATTAAATATGAATGATACATATTATCAATTACTCTATAAATATAAAAGATTTAAAAAATAATGAAATCATTTACAAAATTGGTATTTATAAATTGTGTTATTTTAAACTCACCAATGGGTCCAATCATGACGTATTATCAAGAGATTTAGAATTTAACTACTAACTGAACTAAAACTTTCAAAGAACTTATCACTTATAGTTTGCATAACAATATCGTTGCTTTATGGTAGTTCTAATAAATAATACTAAGTTAAGAATTCTACATCATATCTACACATTCACTACTACAATTTAATATGCAATATTTGAATAAATTATATTTAGGTTGCAATTTTAAAATTCGGATCCATTTATAAGATAGACGTAAATTAAATTTATTATTAAAATCAAATTCAAATAATCGAAATATGAAATTTAAATATCAAACACCAAGGAAAGTACGTATGGGAGAGTTAGTGGGCTAGCTACAAATAGTAGAATAGTCATATGATTTTCAGATGTTAGGTTTTTTATTTTTTTATTTAAAAAAATACAAACCATTTCTTTAGTGTAAGTGGTAATGATTGTTGTCTTTCTCTAAAAAGATCATGGTTCAAACCCCGAAACTGATAAATTTTTTTTCTTATGGATAAGGAATAAATAATTTATCTTTCCTACTTTCGCTCTCGTGGCCCAAAATTTGAAATCCTGAAAAACTGCCACAAACTCTTCTATAATATATTTGTAGATTCATAATTAATTTTTATAATATTAAATAGATTGCAATGAAAAAGCGAAACAATGAAATAAATTAGTGAGATGCAAGGAATGGCTGAATATAATATATTTTTAATAGTTTTTCTTTAAATTACACACTATATGTGTCGACGACCTACCCGATAGGGGTGAACAAACACACCCGCAAACCGACCCACCCGTCCAACCCGACCCAATCCACCCGTATTTACCGCTAAAACGAAGGTTTTGGGTTGGGTGAGCGTTTTCTTTTGTACAACCCGCCTCTTTTGGGTTGGGTTTGAATTTTGGATTACACAACCCGTAGAACCCGACCCAACTCGTGTTCCAACTATTAGTATGAGTTTGAATCTAAAAAATATTTATGTAGTATATAGTCATATACTAATGAGAAAATTAAGATATTTCGCCATGTTTTTCTCTCATGGTCTCCCTAATCTAATGCATTCTTCGACTTAAAGTTTAGACATAAATTGAATATAGTTATGATTCACGTAATCCTTTTTCTTGTGTACAATTTTAATAGAATAACATATGATGGATGCGTTTGTTTATAACATTTTTCGCCTATTTCAACAAATATCGTGAAAAACAAGACATATGTTGAAGTAAATTACATTTTATTAAAATTTAAACAACATTTGTGAATTTTCATACCTTTTCACCTTGGTTCATTCGTTTGAAATTTTAATTAGTTATAAAATATTTTTATGATGTAGAATAATTATATATTTTATGTTGGGTTGGGTTTTTACTTAAAAATATCGTCAACCCGACCCAACCCAATTAGAAACAAACCGTAGGGTTTAATGTTTTTTTAGTGGGTTTGGGTTTGATATTTTCCAAACCGCAATACATGAGTCGGGTGATTAAAATGACTAAACCCGAACCACTCAACCCATGTACACCCCTACTACCCGAAGCATGTCCGATAATAAATCATCCAACTTAATTCCTCTCTATCATTGAACGAGTATTGGAATCGAGATACCTCGCACCTACCTCTCCATTGTCATTCCTAAATAGATGGGCGTTTGAAAACCTGGGCTAGGAAAATGGGTTTTTTACAAGACAGTTACCGGCCCACAGTGAACTCGCAGCCCAATTCTCTGCCCTTTCTCGACGACTATACAAAGTCAAAGAGCTTCCAGAATCCAGAGTTTGGATATAAAAACAGGGGATTTTCCCTCCTTTTACTATTTTGACAATAATCGGCCACCTAAAAACCACCTAACAACAACTATAAAACACCAATGGCGAAGAGGATTCCACCAACGAAACGAGCTTCTCCAGGCTGATCTTCGATTCCAGTCGCATCCACTTTCCGTTAGCTCAACCACCGTTCACCGTCGAGAGGCATGAAGAACTACTTCCAGCACAACGGATTCCGGGGGCGCCGGATCAGGAGAAGAGTACTGCTGTCCTTATTACCATCACTCCTCGCCGCCGTCGCCGTCACCGGCTTACTTCTCCTCCCTCCGGCGTCCGTGAATATTACTCCGTTGTCGCTGATCAGGAATCGGGGTATGGCTGAGCCTAACGAGACGAAGCCGTGCGCTACAGTTGAGGAAATGGGACAGAGCTTCAGGGACGGACCCTGGAAGGAAAGCTTGAAACTCAGGCGGATCATTCGCCGGCACTTTCTCATCAACGGTGAGCTTTCGGCCGTTGACTTGAGTAAATATAGAAACCCATTGAAATTGATAGCAATCATTTAAGTCATTGACTAGAAAATATCGGGTAATTGTCTTATGCTCGATATTGCATTAGTTTAACCATGGTTCAAACTTTTTCATCTCGTTAAAATTGTCTATTGACTCTGATATCCGGTATTTTCGGTCCGACCGGACGGTACGATTTCTAACGCATAGGTAGTTTTGTTAGTGAATGGTATATTATCAACAATTGAATCTCTATCAATAACTCGAGTTATTATAACCATTAGTTTGGTTGTTGACTTGATATCTGAGTTTTTTTGAAATCGAGATGCTTTATGTTCAAATCCCAATGACCTCATATTTTCTGTACAAATTTTATGCCTATACGAGTAGCTTTCGTTTGACAGGCGTAAATGGTCTATCATTCATGATTGAATCTTTAACAACTCGAGTTATTAAGACCACTAATAATGTCAAGTTGTGCAGGTGCTTCAAGAGTGAGGGATCTTCCATCAGAAGAATTCTGCAGACATGGATTCGTGCTTGGGAGATCATCAGAAGCAGGTTTTGGGAACGAGATGTACAAGATCTTAAATGCTGCAGCTTTGAGCATGATGCTGAAACGTTCATTGATCATTTGTCAAACCAGGCATATATACAACATTGGTTCTTTCTCCATCCTCCCCATGATCCTACATTCTAGAGTCTCGTTTCATTTTTCAGTATGTGCAAACTTAGGTTGCTCAAAGTATTAAATTTTTTGGAGTCGAACAACTTCTTCAGGGGTAAATATCCTTTTGGGGACTACATAACCTACTCCAATCAAACCTTCACCATGGATGAAGTCCAGAATCTGTGGAGGCAGAATGGCTGTGTGGAAAAATATGGAAGACAGTTGGTTGTAAGGATTGACGAGTTCCTGAAGCCGGCCAAAACCAACGTCCTCTGCAGCAATTGGAGGAACTGGGAGCAGCCAATAATATGGTAAAGTGTACAAATCAATTGAATCAGATGCTGCTACTATGTTGATAGATGGCGGAGAAACAGATCATCCAACGATGTCAGAACATGCTAATGTCTGGCTAATTAAACCCATCATCACCCAACTGGTTAGTATGTGACAAATTTTGATGTCTGGCTGCAGGTTTCAGAACACAACCGATGCCACTGCGAGCCAGTTCTTCCTGAAGAACGTGCACCCTGAGATGAGAAGTGCTGCAGCTGAGTTATTTGGACCTTCGGAGCAGCTCCATTCTCGACCAAATGTCTTCGGCGAGCTGATGTCGTTTCTCATATCTCCGTCGCCAGAGGTGAAGGAGGCGGTGGACATGGTGCTTGCTGGTGGCCCGGATCCTGACATCTCTTTGCATATGCGTATGCTTATGAATAGGTAGGCTTTTAACTATCCTTTTCGTCATAAAATTAACTTGTCTCAATAACTCGAGTTGTCGAAAGAGGTCAATGTATGATACCTAACCACTATCGTATTTCAGGCCAGTGAGAGCAGTGCAGGCAGCACTGAACTGTGTCAGGAAAGCGATGCATAACCTGCCAAATCAGCGCAAACGCAGGCTGGTTTTGGTTTCGGATACACCGTCTGTTCTACAAAGCCTTATTGACGACATAAGTCGATTCGCAGAGGTAATCCAAAACACTGCAATGCATAGCTACAGAGGCAATGTTTGATCCCCCCAACAATCTATAAACTACTTCGTTCTGTTTTTTTTTGTTCTGTTCTGTAAACAGGTTGTTCATTTCGATTATGAAAAGTTCCAAGGAAATATGCCCTCTATTGACCATGACGACGACCAGAACATGAGTTTGAGAGTGAAGGATTGGGGGCCGGCGCCGAGATGGGTCGCGTTCGTTGATTTCTTCCTCGCGGCGCGAGCTAAGCATGCCGTCGTTTCTGGTGCTCACCGGCGGGTTGGTACGACTTATGCTCAGCTGATTGCAGCATTTGCTGCAGCCAACCAGCTCGGTAAGTAATGGTCTATCCGATCGAGTTTGTTAACGATTCAAATCATCTAGTCTGAATAACTCGAGTTGCTAATAGAGAGATGGCAAATGGATCCAATTGACACCTAAACATTAGATCAACATGTAAATCTTGAAAAGATTAGGTGCTAAAATGTCATGATGAAAAATTTTAGGTTTTAAAACGCAACTTTCAATGGTATTTTATGTTAAAAAGGTAAAATTTAGGTATTAGATGTATAACAAAAAAATATATGTACTAAATTGTAGTTTTTCAAATTATCCATGAATCCATTCCACCAATCTTATTGAATTCGGATTAAATGGATTGGATTGATTGTATATTTTAGTGGATGGAATGGATGGAGTTGGCGGATTGGATACGAAATTGTCACCTCTAGTTGATAGGAAAGGGTTTTTGTATGAGTTTTGATGTTTTTTACACGCCTCGTCAAACAAAAGTCTAGCGGTAGTCTTTCAATTTGTACATGTTGGTCATATCAACGCTGTGTTAAACCATTGTTTATATTGAGAGTCGTCATGATTTGAACACGTGACATCACGATCAAACCAACCCCTATATCGTATCCAGAACAAACTAATCTCAATAACATGAGTTATTGGGATTAAATGATTTGTTGATTAACATAGTATCATAACCTTTGACCGAGAGGTCACGATTTATCATACAAAGATGATGTTCAACATGCCCAAACTGAAAACTTACAAGGAGGCTTTCATTTGAAGGACTGAAAAAAAAAAACGAGATATAAAATGCGAACGAAACCTGAATTATTGGGCGAACTAGTTTTTAACCGTAGGTACCCATAATTCCATTTTGACATCTCGATCTAAACTTCATCCATGGCAGGGGAAAACAGAGCACATCCGAGCTTCTCATTCATGAGCAGCTTCCAACGCACTCTGCTGTCTCACGGGTTGAGCCATCAGATCGGCTGGGGACATGCTTGGAACAGGTTCGGAGGTCCGTTGAGCTGCCGGAACCAGACCAACCATCAATGTGCTTTCACGCCGCTTTCTCCTCCGGCTTGGTGGGACGGCCCGTGGCAGTCCCCTATCGCACGGGATGTTCGACGGCTGTCCATGTACGGCGTCGGACTCTCTGGTTCCGGCGCCGTCGATGAAGATGGACTCGTGTCATTTTGTGGTTCGAGGAAACCCACTGTGAGAACCCTTCTGCTTGTACAGTGAATTCTGAAAAGGTCTAGCTGCTTCTCTAGATCAAATTGTTATGGGTGATGATGGAATCAAGAAGGCGCGCCTAGGCTCAATTAGGCGCTAGGCGGTGGAGGATCGCTTTGACTTGGCCATAGCGTTGTAAAAGGCGCTGGTAGCGCTTAGTATGTAGGAATAGCGCTTAGTTTGCGCCTAGTGGAGAGAAGGCGTGTCTGGACGTTCCTGGGCGAGCTTAGGCGATTAAACCCAATACTCTTCGTTTTGTCCTAGAAAATCAGAAAATTGTCTCTTGCCCTAGAAAATCAGAAACACGGGAAGGGGATGACCATGCTATGTATGTATTCGTATATGAGGATGAGGAATCATATTGTGCACCCTCGAGTACTGTTACATATGCAATGGCGGGTGAACAGAGTGAGCTTCGCAGGAGTGCACGAGTGAGAGAGCTCCATGATGAAGAATTAGAGTCTAAAGAGGAGGAAGAGGAGGAGGATGGTGAGGAGATTGCTTTTGAGGATGATGAAGATGAAGTGGTGGCTGGACAGACCTACTTGGATGATGAAGAATGAACATTTTCCTATGAACTTATTGACTATTGTTTAGTATTTCGACATTTTATGAACTTGTGATTCTAGGAAGTGGTCACTATTTGCTTGTCATTTGTTATGTTAAGTGTTTACTGTTAAGAACTAGGCATTGCTAATTTTATATACACTTGGATTATATGAATTATTCCAGAAAACAGGAAATATTTGAGAACTTTTTCCATTTATGCTCTGAACGCCTAGGCGCGCATAGGCTATGCCTAATCAAGCAAGGCGCAAGTCAGGAGCTGAGCGCCTGCCTTACGCCTAGCGCCTTTTAGAACCTTGTATCGAATCATACCCAAATCAATTGTGACAGCAGAACTCTAGGGATGGCAAAAATAACAATATTCCTGGATCTTCGTCCGAGCCCGACCTAATCGGGCCGGTATGGTAGACCCCAAGTCCCAAACCTAAAAGATTTTAATGAATATGGGTAAAACTAGAACTTGAATATTGCGAGTTGACGAGTGGGCATCGAGTTTTCACTATCCAACTCAAACGGGCCCCACAATTTGCAAGCATATGTACTTTGTTAAAAAATTATCATTATTTTTCACATTATATCGATAGATCCAAGAACACGACAAAAATACGTTATCATTATATTTTCTTGATATATTTTATATTTATTAATTTTATAGTATATACTAGCGTGGGCCCCGACCAGTTGGTCAGAGAACCGTGAGGTATGAAATTTGATAATGTAATGGGGTGTATAGCTTATTATTGTATAGTTTTTTTTTTTGGAAAACACGTGATAAAAACAGTGAATTTTAGTAGAAAAGAAACATAAATGATGCAACGAATCAAAAATCAGCCTTATTAACCAAAATCAAGTACCTATTACCTTGTGAAACAATATTGTTTCTAGTAATATGATGAGGTGGAGTAGGTTTTATAGAAACTGAATTCCAGAAAATCGAATAAAAAATCGCCTATCCCGCCGGTTTCGGGAAATGAGCATCTCATAATCGTTGCTAGCTTTTACTCGACCCGTTGGCCGATTAATTTGCTTTATAAAACTTTCATCTTGTCGTCATTGTGCTTTCTGATTTTTTCCAAGCCATGATAAATTCTAAAGAAATCAAGAATGAACAACACGATTTGGGACAGGACCCGTCGTTCCTGTATCCCTAGAAAATGGTGGTAAACACGAACTCGCCTGCCAAACTGGTTTGGATTGAGATTTTTATCGGGTATCAGGGAATCATGTGATTATAAATTAGACTTGATCAAAACGGGTCAAAACTTGAAATTCAGCCTGTTTGACCGACCCATGCCAAACTCTAATTATTCTTTACTTTTAAACTTTCTATTTGAAAATAAAAAAATAATGAAAGAAAAGCGATGACTGCAATTCGCCATTTGCACATCACTATTCGGGAATAAAACTATAGAATTTCGAAAGAAAGCTGAAAATTTTTAGGATCGTTTTAATGTTAAAAATAACCAAATAGATCTTTCTGTTTATTGTTTTACTAACAAATACCAAACAATTCACTATAAAATACACTATAATTTAATAATTATGATATCAAATAATTACATAATATATATTTGAAATGATAAAATTGGACTAATTGGGTTGAATCATTGAATAACTTTAAAATACATTATATTTTAGCCACTAAGATATAAAATAATAGCATAATATATATTATGCTAGAGAAAATAACTTGTTTTAGAATGGCAAACCCATGATGTTCATTTGTTTTACTTGATGGGCAAATCTCGTGTAGGTCAGGCTCATTCAACTTTTTTATTTTATGGTTAGCGGTTAGTCTATTAGAATCCATGCATTAGTTTATTGTTAATTTTTTTTTTCTTTTTAGCAATAAAAAGGAGTATTGTTTTTCCCTTTTCATATATATTTTACCACCACAGAGAAATAAAAGGACTTAAAGAAAAAAATTGACACTCCTAGACCCGTTTAAATCCGCATGTGTACGGTAAGATGACCCGTTCCATAGAGGAAAAAGAAAAAAATTGACACTCCATATTCTACCCTTCCTACAAACGCTCCTGGAGCAGAGAATTTGAAATGGGGGAATGGTTTTTTTCCTCTCTTCTATTATATGTTTTTAATTTAAAAAACATACAACAAATGTACTTAGTCTGATTTGTTATGATGTTTGATTTTCTTTAAAGTGGGCATGGTTCGAATCCTAGTAAGTGTCTTTTTAATGAATAAAAAAAAAGTAATTGTGAAGACTAAAATGTCCTTTCTACTTTCACTCTGGATGCAGGAAATTTGAAATGGGGCTTCAAGTTTTCTCATTTGGCTTTTATTTATTGTGTAGATGTAGATAAATATCATTTTAACTAATTGTCTTTCTTCTGTTAATTTGTTATTCTAATTTTTCATTTAGATAATGTCAGAATACATAAAATTGTTAACAATGTTGGTTGAAGTTATAAATAAAAAGTTATTATCTAGGAATAATATTAGATACACGAAACCCAATCAAGTATGAGCATCATCCTAATACAGATCCGGACCTCTGAGCGTAAAAAAAAAAAAGGCATGCAAATAGCGCTCTCCTTTCTCCGGTCGCTGAGCGCTACGATCGGACGCTGGCTCTGGGGGATGGGACTCGCCGTCTTGTCCACCAGCTTGAAGAATCAGGGACTTACCTAGATCCGGGTGGAAGACAGTGACCGGCGCTGCGGGAAGGTCGTGACGCGACCGCCGATTGAAGATTTCCAAGAACCGGCGGCGCAAAGGCCGTCGAGCAAAAATCCAAGAATCGCCCACCCTGTTGAAATTAGACGCCGACGGGCCGTCTCTAATAAGAAACGTAAAAGGCAGGAGATCCCGAGTGCGTCTCCGGAGCTCCCAAGTGCTGATTGCTTCAAAAGGAGTAGAAAATCGGCGTTGAAGGGGTGGAGGTTTTGGCTCCCCCCTTCGTCTGTGCTGGATGGGGAGGTTCAATCTCCAAGCGCGAGTCCAGAATTGGTAGCGCAGCACACTCAATCAGAGTTGGGGTATAGCAATCGAAAAAGTGGGGATAAGTGCAAGCAACCCTTCGGGGATGATGGGCCTGTGAAACCATCTGGTGAGCACTCTGTTCCTCTCCCCACCGATGACGATGGGCTATCCCCGCCGGCAACAAAAAACCCGACCTCCGGCAAGGGCTCAGATGCAGAGGTTGGGTTGGTTTCTTCGGCTAACGACCCGGATCTGCAATCCCGCGACACTCGGGCGGTGATCGGTATGGCGGGTGGGATCCGATTTGGGCTGGGAAAAAATCTCGGGTTTACATTCCCGAAGCAATCGCCTGGAACAACAATTAAAATAAAAGAAAATTAAAAATAAAAGCGAAGCGGAGGATAATCGAAGCCAAATCGCTTGCGGGACTCCTAATCCTTTTCGACTTCTCACAACTAAAGGAAACTGGCAGATTGGAGTGGATTTAAAGGGAGCTCGGCTCCCATCCTTCTCATTCAAATCCCACCCCCAGACTTGGTATTATTGTAGCCCTGCTCTGCTGCGTGGTAAGGGAATCGGAGAAGCGCCGCCACTCCAAGCTGCTGTCCAGAAAAACCAAGGTATGGTGCCTATATTTACAAGCTCATCCCCCTGCCCTGCTGTGTTCCCTTCCCCCTGTGATCAAGATCGATTTGTCTCTGCTTCTTCCCCTGCGTTGTGTCCCAGCAATGGGCAGGGGAACATTACCATGGCTTCTACCCTCCTAACTCAATTTGATTCGTCTCAGGTTCAGGGAAGAACGATGGAACGAGCAGCTGAGGATCAGGTTGTGAAGTTCAACCTTGAGGAGGTCCAGTCCACTAAATTTCGTGCAGCAAGGTCTCTTTTGGGACGTTTATTTACGGGGAACCAGCTCACGAATGAAGAGCTTAGAGCTGAAATGGGGGAGGCGTGGCAATTGAGAGGCCACCTTCGGGTGTCGCGTACTAAACATGGCCTGATTGAAATCGTTATGCCCAGTGAGGAATCCAAAATTTGGGTCTTGAAACGAACTCCATGGGTGATCAAGGATAAATTGATCAACCTTCGATCCTGGATTCCTGTGATCAGTAAGCATATTTATGACGATCTTGCTGAGGCTCCCTTCCGCATCCAACTTTGGGATGTGAAGGAGGATTGCTGTACCAAAGAATTTGGACAGAAAGTTGTAGCTCCCACCGTTGGCCAAGTCTTAGAATCCGGTGTCTTCGCCTGCAAAGATACGGGAGAAAGCTTTGTGAAAGTTCGTGCTTTGGTGGCTTTTGCAAAACCTTGAGGTCTCAGCTTATGGCGGTCAGTGAGGAAACTGGCTAATTTTGGATTCGATTGAAATATGAATTCCTTCCGACATTTTGCTATCACTGCGGCCGAGTAGGCTATGCTCGTCGCGAATGTTCTTTTGACCCTCCAAAAGGGAAAGAAAAATTTGGTCCCCACATGACTACAAGAAAGATGGGGCGCAAAATTTATGAGGAAGTGGAGACAAATGCTGGGTTTCGTGGAATTCGTAATACTGT